GTTTTTTTAAAGAAATTTTTAAACATATTATTCAAGACTTTCAAATCATATATACCCTCTATAGCCATATGCCTGAGGGTATAAAATAATTTTGGTAATAATTTAGCTCTACTCTAATTCTCATTCGAAAACAAGGGGGGATGTATGTGGTAGTCCAATAGGCTTGTCACGAAATTTGGTTTGAAGTCGAGTAAGAATCGATCTGTTCATTTTTTCGACATCGAAATAGGACAAAACTTAGTGGCCTGTCTTTACAATTACTTAATATTACTCTCAGTCATGTTCACCAGTTCCTCTGTTGAAATCACGATAGAGCACGATTCTTTTTAATTACACCCTGGCCAAGATTTAAGGATTTGTCACAAATATTTATTAAAGACTTTCTGGCCAAGATTCGCAGAGGGTTTTAGTTAATTTTCTTGGACTTTTTTGTACTACTTCAAGATATTTTTATAATAGTTAATCTTTTATTTTACTTTTCAATAGCTCTTTAATATGGTGATTTTTTATAAAATTTTAATTTTTTTGAAAATTATTTTCACAGTCTCTTAACACATTGATTTTTAAAGAAATCAAGTTTTTTTTTTAAATATTTATTTTTTCAACATTTTATAGAATCTTTATGAATATTGGATTTTAAATACGTATTTCAAGGACTTTTATTTGTATCATTTTAGGATGATGGATTTTAATAAAAATATATTTCAAGAACTTTGTTTTGGAATTGGGGATTTTTTTACATTTGTGGAGATTTGAAATATATTTTATAATAACTTTTGTTAAACCGTGAATTTAAATAATGAATTGTTTTCTTGGAATGCGGATTTAATTTTTTTTTTTTTAATAAAATAAAATATTTTTCTGGACATTTAAAATATTTCCAAAAAATTAATTGAGGTCCTGGAATTTTTTGAAATTTTTTTCAAGAACTTTTTAGAATTGCATTGCCTTACCCCCTGGTAAACATTACCATCGTTCTCCACTAATAAACGAACGTTGTTTTTATAAAAACAACAATAAAGGGATTAAGCCTGGCCATTTTGCAACAACAGAATTGTATTTTTTAAATTTTAAAGGACCTCAAAAAAAATTTTTAACTCCTGTTTTTTAATATTTTTCAAATGATTTTTTGTAAAGTTTGCAACATCTCGTAATTTTGGTCTTAGACCCAAGATGTTATGCATCGATCTTCCTATCTAGCCGAGCTGAGTCGATCTGTAGATGAGTGTCCGTCCGTCCAGTTCCTTCCGATTTTTAATTTTTTGACCTCGGGATAAGAATAAACACAGTCGTTAGCCATCTCTTTACAACCCTATGCGATTCTCCAAACGTCTAATTCAAATTTTTTTTATTTGGTTATTGTCACGGTTTTTTATGTCACGACCACTCCATTTCATTTTCTATTCAAAATGCAATTTGTTAGTCTCACTTTGGTTTCTTGTTACAGCTGCAGTTTTTTTTTTCGCTTAGTGTCATTGCATTGTTGGTCGTTTCGCATATTTTTTGGTAACATTTCACATTTTTTTCCTGGTTACATTTTCAGATATTGTCAAAGTATCGGTTTTTATTGCCATATATTTGCGTAGTTTTAGTTTTATTTATTCATTCGGTTTTCAGAACAACTACTTTTATGGATGGGTGTTCGTTTTTTTTTTCCGTTTGGCTGATCGAGTTGTAGTTCGAGTTCAACAATTTGTTCGTTGTAGATATTTATGAACACATCATCTCATCAGTTGATACACGGCTGCTGCTGCTGCTGTGTTGCAAATATATTTTCGCCGTACACGCACTCATACAAACAAACATATTTATTAATATTGATAAATATATGGGAATATTTTTTTCCTATTTTTTTGTTTTTGAGAGAGAGTTTTGTTTCATTTGATTACTTGTGTGACATGGCAAATAATAGAGGATTTTGGTTTTGGTTTTATATGGACAGTAAGACAGTGTTATTTTTCAGAAAAATTGCTGTAATTATAGTAAAAATTCAAATATCGAGATGAGGTAAATTGTGCTGAATTGTGCTCAACTAGCACAATTTTCACAATTCTTATTATTTTTAGAAAAATTACAGCAATTTTTCTGAAAAATACTGTTTTTTTTTCGAAATTGCCATATCTTGAAAACGGTTAAAGATATTGAAAAAAAAAAATTAACGGCACCAGTTAGCACAAATCAAGCACAACCCAGCACAACTCTTATTTTTTCGAAATTCGAAAATTGCAATTCTGGCATTCTTTCGAAATTGTCGTTCTTTTTCGAAATTGATAAGAGATATCGGAAAAATTTTAACGGCACAAATGGGCACAAACCGAATAGACTCAGCACAACTTTAATTTTTTTTGAAATTCGAAAATTGCAATTCATTTAGATTTTTTTCGAAAAAAATTTTCTTCGAATATCTCATAAACTTTTTCGAATTTCGAAAAAACAAATTTCGGTACAATTGAGTACAAATCTAGCACAACTTTCCCTTTTTCGAAATTCGAAAATTGTAATTCCAACGGACACCACATTTTAAATGTGAATAAATATTTTGTGTCTCGCACCATCGCTCGTTGCTGTGAGACTGGTAGCGTAGCCCGACGTCAAGGAAATGGATGGAAGAAAACAAGAACATCAGCAGAAATGGTTCGAAAAGTAAAGAAGCGACTTGATCGAAACCCGCGTTGCAGTGGCCGAAAAATGGCCCAAGGTAAAGCCATTAAAATTCCAAAAAGTGCAAGAACTTACACCGCAACAGAATGAAAATAGACTCAAACGAACGATGAGAAAACAATTGTTGTCCAGCAGTTTGTTAACAAACAAAAGATCGTGTTTACTTACCAAAGAGGTCAGCTGAAAATGTGCACATTCGGTTGGCCACCAGAACTCAAGCGCACGCCAAGGTGATGGTCGCCCTCCGCTCGTATTAATCATGTTAATTTATACCTCTAATTGATTCTCCAATACAATATTGAATCATGTTACACATTTTAGTACTACTCGAACCCTTGGAGAACGAGTCGCGAACATTTCACCTGTTCTCATACAAAATCAGTAAGGAAAAATCATACACAAATCAGTAAGGAAAAATCAATAGTTGGGCGGGGCCGACTATATAATACCCTACACCACTATGCATATTTAGTAGAGCTCCCGTACCAAAATAATTTATTTCAAGTAGATCATACCACCTATCAACATTTGGCTTTAGATCAGTTATAATTTGGTTTCAGAAAGATATAACATATAGGAGGCATATAGTATTCTAAATTGATTTTCACAAAATTTGACGGGTACCGCTATATGGGGCTATACAAAAACGTGGACCTATACATACAATGTTTCGCCAACGGAACTATAACACATTAAGACCCACAAATACAAATTTTCAGACAAATCCATGTCATTTCCAATACCAACCATCCCAGGCACAATTGGTATTGACGCTACTAAATTTTGACGCTCTATGTCATATAATGTGAGCTGTACCTTGATTTCAAAAGACAAACGGACAGAAGGACTCGGAATTTTATGCTGATTATGAATATACATACTTTATGGGGTCTACGACGAATATCTAGGCATGTTACAAACGGAAGAACAAGTTAATATACCCTCCTTTCCAAGGTGGAGGGCATGAAAATATATATCGGAGCCGAGTTCCACCAAATGGAAACGTAAGTTCTGAAACTCACTCCATTTGGGTTGAGCCGTTTTTTGCCGATCTCTATAAAATTTGGCAAAGGTATTTCCGAGCTCTATATGATATCTGGTACCAAATATCATTGTTGTCGAATGCATACTACGAATGTGAGGGATTTAAACACCAAATCGGATGAGCATATATATGGGAGTTATAGCTATATCTGAAGCGATTTTCCCCAAATTTGATGTACTTGCTTCTAGACTGAATTCGGTCGGATGTGCCAAAATTCAGGTCATTTGGACTGATATTGGAAATTTGGTGCACAATTAACCTCAAATCGGTTGAAGATATATGTGAGCTATATCTAAATTTTGAGCCGATTCTTGCCTATTTAAATTTAAATTAAATTAATAGGGTTCGCCCTTGGGCCAAACAAATATTATTTGGAAAATTTCATCTCAATCGGATAATAAATGCGACCTGAATTTTGTTCACAAGAATACATAGACTCAGAATGTGATTCTACGAAGATCCTCAAAAGTAACTATAGGTCTATCTCCCTGACATAATGCCCTTACCACTACGTGGTGTAGGGTATAAAAATTACTTATATCATACAAAGTGAAGAAGTAGTTGATATAGTCCAAATCTGGCAGGTTATAATGTCTATATCAGGCTTAGGTCCGACATTAATTTTCATTAATGCATTTGTAAACAAAAAATTTCAATTTTTGCTGGTTTTCCTCTCAAATAACCTGAGAAGTGTTAAATTCGAAGTCACGATGAAGAGCCTTCGATAAACCTTAAAATTTCTCCACTTCCCGACATAACTTCGAAAATGTTCCTCTTCAAACCAAAATCTGCAAGGAAACACTGTAACCCAATTTTTTTCTATTGCCAAATGTTTGATTAAAATATGAACAGAGAAACTAACGACCATTTGGATGAGTATTTTGTCGACCATAAAAGTAGATTTAAGCTTCAAAAAAATAAACCTTTTTTCCATTTTCGTCATGGAGATTTTCTCGTTTGACATTGGATAATTTCGGATGCAACAAGCGAAAAAATGGATTCCGCACGGGTATTAACTAAAGAAAATAAAATTCAATTACATGGTGTTGTTGTTTTTTAGAAATAAAAATATTCATTTTTTTTTGCGGGGAGATTAAAATATATTGACAAGTAAAAATGAAAAAAAAAAAAAACAAACAAACATTTTACAAAGGTCAAATTCAGTAGGCAGCGGCACACAAAATGCATGTGTTTTTTTTTTGTAATCAGCCCACAAACATATTATTTTATTGGAAAATAATTCCAATACAATTATGACATATGCATTTTCGCTTATCAAAATCACTTGTTTTCTTTTCCCATCCATTCGACAATTCATTGCAAACATTCATTCAGTAGATTGTCATCAGCTCAAAGATTAAGATGAATCGAATTTTCTTCTACGCCATAATTTGTAGTTTATGTTTTGAACTGGCCCTGGGCCAACAACATTTGAGATATTTCAAAAGTTATGGTAAATCGTAATTTCGTAATTTATTTTTATTATTGTTGTTTTCATTTTAGAAATTTCTTTGGAAAATGAAAATAAAAACAAAAACATTGTTTTGCTTTCAGATCATCCCGGCAAATGTGTTTTCGGCGATCTGGTGTTATCACCCGGCGAAGAGGGTCAACCCAAGGGCAGTTGTTTGCGTTTGGTTTGTCAACAGAGAGATGGTCTTGGCACACTAAAACTGTGAGTTGTTTTGTTTAGTATTTTCGTCGTTTGTTATTATTTTTGTATAAACAAAATAATAAATAATTGTTTATTAAATTTTTGTAGTTGCAACAATGGAAGCGCTGTTAAGCCCCGCTGTCGTCTTGGTGCCCTGATCAATCCGAATGGCGTATATCCTGCATGCTGTGAGAGACAAGTTATTTGTGACTAGATTAATTGAACCAATTTGTGATATGTTTTAAAATTTAATTTTAAATGAAACAGCGGACTATTTCTTATAAGAAAATATTATAAGTGCACTTTGTACTTTTTTTTTTTGCTTTGCAATAGGATTCCCATGGTAGTATTAAGATGGTAACACTGTACAATAATATTTTTACCATTTTTATACCCTCCACAATAGTATGGAGATTATAATAATATGTCATTCCGTTTGTAACACCCCGAAATATACATTTTAGATCCCACAAAGCATATATAAATTCTTGATCAGCATAAAATTCTATGTCGATTTAGCGATGTCCGTCCATCTATTCGCCAGTCCGTCTATTCATATAACGGTAACTACCGATATTCGGTATTTTGATGATTTTAGCGACATTATTCACCGGAATTATTTAAAATTTTGTATTTGAAGTTCGAAATGGATACTACAGCATAAGACAGATAATTGTTTTTGCAGGTCCATGTCTTCGTATAGCCTCCGTACAACGGTAATGATGATTTTAGCGACATTATTCACCTGAAATGTTTCAAATTTTGTATTTGAAGGTCTTAATGGGTACTACAGTATATTACAACAAGTTAAAAGGCAGTAAGTTAAGTTAAAATTTTAAAAATACCGAATATAGCCGTTATATTGCGGTCTATACGAAGTGGACCTACATAGGCATTGTTTGTCATAAGATATTGTCATATTCAAATTCGAAACTTGAAATAAACGGTGAATAATGTAGCTAAAATCATGAAAATATCGTATATAGGGAGGTATCGTTATATCGAAGCTGTTCGAAGACCTGGACCTGTATAGACAATTTTTTGTCACAGGCTTTAGCATACATTACGAACTTCAAATACCAAATTTGAAACAACTCCTGTAAATAATATCGCTAAAATAATCAAAATACCGAATATAGGGAAGTACCGTTATATGGGGCCTATACGAAGACCTGGATCTGCATGGACAATTTTCTGTCACAGACTGTAGTTTCCATTACGAACTCTAAATGCGTAATTTGAAAGAATTCCGTTGAATGATGTCGCTAAAATCAGCAAAATACCGAATATAGGGAGGTACCGTTATATGGGGGCTATATGATAACGTGAACCATGGCCCTTTTATGAACTTAACCTACCTACTGGACAAATTAACATGTGTACAAAATGTTAGCTTTCTATCTCAATTTGTTCGAAAGATAGCGTGATTACAAGAGACAGACACACAGACGGACAAACAGACAGACACACAGACGGACAAATCGACTTAGAATTTTACGCTGATCAAGAATATATATACTTTGTTGGGTCTGATATGAGTATTTCGAGGAGTTACAAACGGAATGACAAAGTTAATATACCCTGCATAGTATGGTGGAGATTATAAAAAATTGCAGGTCCACGTCTTCGTATAGGCCCCATATAACAATACCTCTATATTTTGATTATATTAGCGACAATATACACAGGAATTGTTTTAAATTTCGTATATGAAGGTCCTAATGGGTGCTGAAGCCTATAACAAAAATTAAGTGATTGCGTCCTCGACTTTGTATATTTAAACGGTATTTTTCGATGACATTTTTTTTTTAAATTTTCCATTTCCTTACAAATGGTGAGGGGTATTAACAGTTCGTCTCGATCATTGCACAATGAAACCACATCCAATTTTCCTGTCCAAAACCAATTCAACATCTCCATATTTAAATCCTGAAACTCACGTTGACTTCAATATCAATTTTCAGAATTTGAGCTCTATTCCTTCATCCAATGCATATTCAGAACAATCTACCTCTCCCCAGACACCAACAGACACCAACAGTGATCCCAAATTAGTACAATTTAGTACTTTTCGAAAAATTACATCACTTTTCGTAGAATTATAGTACACATTTACAAAGACACCTCTGTATCTCAATTAAAGATACCAACAGAGACCTCAATATTAAATTTCAGGATTTCAGCCCTATTCATTCAGCCAACACCAAATATAGTACTATTTTGTTCTTTTCGTACAATTATAAATGACATTTTCAAGACCACACCATATGTCAAACACAGACAACAACAGTGCCAACCATATGAAACTTAAGAATTTCAGATCTGTTCCTTAACCCTATTCCAAATATGGTACTATTTAGTACTTTGCGTAGAATTATAGTACATATTTCTAAAGCCACTTCTTTATCTCCAATACAGATATCAATAGATACCACAATATTAAATTTCAGGATTCCAGCTATCCCTTTTGCCAATACCAAATATAGTACTATTTTGTACTTTTTGTACAATTATAAAAGACATTTCAAAACCACCTCCATATCTTAACCACGGACACCAAAAGTTGTCGTAATATAAAATTTCGAGGTTTAGCTCTATCTATTCACCCCATAACAAATTTTAGTACTATTGAGTACTTTGAGTACAATTATAGGAAACATTTTCAAAATCACTCCATATCTTAAACACAAACACCAACAGTGCTATCTATATCAAATTTTAGGATTTTAGCTCTATTCCATGACCCATTACCTAATTTAGTACTATTTTATACTTTTCGCACAATTATAGTACACATTTCCAAAATCGCCTCTATACCTCAATCCCAGATATTAAAATAGATTTCAATATCAAATTTCAGGATTCCAGCCCTATACCTTCACCCAATAACAAATGTAGTACTATTGAGTACTTTTCGAACATTAATAGTACGCGTTTTAAAAACAATCTCCATATCTCAACCTCAGACACCAACAGCGACTTTCATATTAAATTTCAGGATTCCAGCTCTATCCCTTTACCAGTACTAAATTTAGTACTTTTCGTACAATTTCGTATATTTCCAAAACCATCACCATATCTTAACCACAAATACCAACAGAGACTTTAATGTGACATTTGAGGATTCCAGCTCTATTTCTTCACTCAATACCAAACAGATATCCCAATACCAAATTTCACATTTCAAACACAATCTGCTCACCCAGTTCCCAATTATACCAAATATTGTACTATTTAGTACTTTTTGTGGAATAGTAGTACACATTTTCAAAACCACCTCTTTATCACAAACCTGCAACCAAAAGTGACCCCAATACAAAATTTCAGAATTCCAGCTTCAACTGTTCAACCTAAACCAAACTGTTTCAAATTTAGTACCATTTACTACAATTCGCACAGTTAGTACACATTTCCGAAACCACCTTCATATATCAAACTTATCTTGTAAACCTTGATACTCATACCAAATGTTAAGTTTTTAGATCTATCCGTTCGCATTAAACCAAATGGTACCATTTTAGTAGTTTAGTACCATTTCAGAACATTTCCTAATCTAAAGCATCGATTTTGATACATCTATTCTGCACTCTATCAGTTACTCTCATTCCAAATTTCAGAATTATAACTCATTCTGTTTACCAAATACAAGGAATTCAATTTTCGTACATTTTAGGACTTTTAGTACGAGTTTTCAAAAAGCCAGTATTATAACGCGCCTATGCATCAAGACTGAAGCTTGTACAAAATTTATAGATTCCACTTCAGCCATTGAGTATGGGCGTTATTTCACTACTTGGAGGTACATAGAGTGCGTGGTGTATCAAATGTATGAAATTAGACAAAAATGTATATGGGAGCTATATCCAAATCTGAGCCGGTTTTAATACAATTTGTCAAATTTATTTTTGTATCAAACTTCGTTACGCATTCCAAATTTCATTGAAATTTGTGATATTTGGCCGTTTTGGTGCAAATCGACGGAACATATGGGAGCTATATCGGAATCTGAATCGAATAAAATATAACTTAGCAAATTAATTTTTTTGCCACTTTTTTTTTACACATTCCAGATTTAAACTAAGCAACAGGTATGCATACAATTTTTTATACCCTACAACACTATGTGTTGGGGGTATTATAAGTTTGATTGGGTCAAAAATTATGTAACACCACGAAATATTGGTTTCCCCCATAGGAAAGTATATATGGACCTTCCTAGCCGAGTTGAGTCGATCTAGATATGTATGTCCGTCCGTCCGTCTGTCCATGTTAATTTGTAATCACTCTACAGGTCGCAATTATGGCTCGATCTTCACGAAATTGAAAATGGAGGTGGGGTTAAGGTCAGAATAGAACCCTATTTCTTTTGGAGATGATCGCATAATATTTAGGGGTAGAAATGGACCAAAAACTGAAAAATTCCTGATTTTGCAGTTGCTCTACAGGTCGCAATTATATACCAATCAGTGCGGAAGTTAGCAGGGGCTAGAGCTTAGGACTGGGCAGAAGCCTTCCAATTTTGATGGTCATCGGGTAATATTTAGTGGGTGAAATAGCCACAACATTTGTGATAAATAAAAGTAAAATTTTCCATTAAACCGCGAATATTTTTAATCCCGGCGAAATCACAAATAGACGAACAGGTCAATTCTGACCGTTTCGTAGATGCCGATAGTAAATATGTCGGTTATATATAGAGAAATATATACAATGTATATATAGAAGGAAGGGAATGTTAGCTAGAATGCTTATATCTCAAGAATGGCTAGACCGATTTCGGCAATTTTTGTCAATTCAGAATGCCCTCTTGACATAAAAATATAAAATCTAAAAAATCGCCTAAAAAGATGCCTATTATCATGTTATTATAGATTTTGTAGAATTTTGTGACTTTTTTTATATTTTCATATTTTTTATCGCATGCGATTTTTTCAATTTGATTATAATATTTTGTAATATTTTTTCACCTTACAACACAGGTTGGGGATATTATATAATTATTGCAAATATCGTCCGATCATCACGAAAATTTTCACAAGGGTACGGTTGAGCTCAGAAGGGCTAGGCCTATTGTTTTCTAAGACGTCCGCAATATATTTAGGGGTTGAAATGGACCAACAATTAAAAAATTGTCCTGATTTTGTAGCCATTATTAAGGTCACAAATAGAAACCAAGGGACACGAATTCTCGAATAAAGTTAGAGTTTAAGACAGCAGGTAGAATGGACCACTACTTTTATGGGAAGAAATACCAACATTTCCATTCTACCGAAACACTGAAAATAACTT